GGAGCAAGCTGTTCTTAAGAAGATACAACATAGTTGACATTATTGATTCAAAGTCCCAATGCAATTTCTCAAAAATCTTTCTGTACAATATTATAAGTTGTTTGTCTTATGTCTCCAATATCAAAAATATGTTTTCTTTTCCATAAAATTGCACTTATTCTTCAAAAATAATTTCAGTCTATATATTCAAAATCTAATATTTCAATATTTTCTGAGCCCTTGGTCTATTTAAAAATTTCTGTAGATGAGGCATCCAGTTTTGTGCTGTAGCAGAGCAGCCAAGGGATTGCGGGGCTCTGCACCCTACAGCCAATTTTTTTCTGTTTGGAGACCCTAAATGGGCCTAAACACTTCAAGATTGCAAAATCAGTCTGAGGACAAGAAAAAAGATTCGACAAAATGATTTATAGAGCTGTCAGGAGAACTACAAGAACTTCAGAGACAAAAATGATAAGAGAAATTAAGAGAGAAAGAAAGAAGAAGATTTTCAATGAATATGAAGAGACAAAACATTCCTACAAAAACATCTTATTTGACCTATTTCTTGTACCTACAACAACATCTACAAGACTATGGGAAGACATTCTGGTCCAGCGGAGCATACTGATTAGGAAATATGTTTGGCAAAAAAAAAGGGCTAAAGTTAGAATTAAGAAATTAGATGATGGGATTTATCAGATGGAATATCTAAAGATTAAACACCTTTGAATATGGTTAAAGAAATAGAAAATTCTGGATATAAATGAATTTTAGTTTAAGAGGGATGGACTCCTCAAATAATATAGTATTTTTTATATATGAAAAATATAAAAATATTGGAATGGTTTATATGAGGGAAATATTTTAGATATTTAAGTGTAATTGATTTTGAGAAAATTTCAATTGATAAGAATGTTTTGAATACATTTAAAAGATGAGATGATTGGATTTATTAGATGAAATATTTAAAGATTAAACATTTGTTTCAATATAGTTAAGAATAAAACAATTTTGGATATAAATGTATTTTAGCTTAAGAGGGACATGTTTCTCAAGTAGTATACTATTTCCTTCTTTTTTCTTCTTTTTTTTTGTTTTTGCTTTAAGATACGAGAAATATAAAATTGTTGGGATGGCTTGTATGAGGAAAAAGATTTAAATACTTACTTGAACATTGTGGGGAAAACAAATGTAAATAAGAACTTTGAAAACAGGATTTATGACAAGGTAATTAAGATGATCAATTAGAAAAGAAGCTTTATATTGATGTGGTTGTTACTTGTAGAAATACTAGGAAAATATTTATATTCAATTGTTATCTATCAAAATACTAAGAAATGTACTAATTTAAGGGTGATAAAAGAGAATATTATTGGAAGAAGAGAAAATCAAGGAAAGCTACTATGTGGATTTTGGAATTATAGAAATTAATTGTTATTTATTGTATTTAATATAAACCCAGACAACACTGTTTACCAAATATTAAGGTGATTATGTTAAAAAATTAATAAAATATATTTTAAAAAAAATCTGTAGCCAAAACTTTGTCTTGCTTTTTGCTGTTTATTTTAAATTCTTAAAGTTTATAAGATATAGCTTTATATTAAGGATTGATGGCATTCAACTGGTGTTTCCAGCCTTGTTATTTTAAAGATGTTTAACTTTTTTAAAGCAATTTATAGCAATTTCCAAAAGTGTTAGCAAAGGAAGTGTGAATTAAATGTCTGGAGGATTTCAGTTGCAGCTGGGGCAACATGACAAATTCCCTTAACTCCTGTTTCTCCTACCTTCTGGAGACCACCACTTTGCAATATCCTCATGAGCAGCAGAAAGAATACAGCTTGGGTAATCTCACCTCCTCACTTGGTCCAGAGAGAATCAAAGAGCCTTCCAGTTTTTAGACAAAATCATTGGTCTCCCACAATAGCAATTCAGGTTACCCATTTCAGAGGAAATTAACAGTGTTGGCAAGGCCACAAAATATTATTTCAATATAATGATATTTATTACTGGAGAAACATGAAGTATCGTATTAATCAAGAATTTAACACTATACATTCATAAGGTATTGAAAGATTTACCAATTCACCATATACAAATGTTGCTATGCTGTTCTTTGTTTATTCATGATTTTGATTCTATTTTGTAACACATGTGAAAGAGATAATTAGGTGTAAACAATCTTTAAATAACAGAGATTTTTATTTTATTTTCCTCCCTCTTCTCTTGTCATGAATTCAGTTGACTTGCCTCTTTATAGAAATAATCATATATAATTTGCATCAACTTTAATGAGCACTTACGTCGCAGAAGAGCTTTTCTTACAGAGTAATTCATACCTTTAAAAATTCTGAATACAAAAATGAACAAATTCAGGAAGATGCATTGCAGCAGATTAGAACAACTCCAATGTATATTTTAAGGCTTCATTTGCCTCATTATGAGTCAAACCTGATTTAAAAACTTAACAAAAGACTTGAGGACAAATTTGTACCTTTGATTTCAACAGTCCTTCAGCAAGTTTTATCATTAAAAATCTATATTTCTAAAAATGCTCAAATTAAAAAGATATTTCATATGAGAATGAAAGACTCAACGAAATCTAAAGAAAATTTGAGTAAAGTCCATGCTTATATAACACCTGTGTTCAGGCACTGAGTTTTTTTCAAATGGTCGAAAATCTAAAATCTAAAAATTCAACATGTATATTTCCCTTAAATATGTATTAATTGCAACCAACTAGTAATGAATTTGGCAATATCCATAAATCTGTGGTGTTGGACTTTTATTGAAAGTTCTGACTAAATAGACAATTGTAAAATTCAGTTTCCCTTACCTAACTAAAATAGAGAAGCAGAAACATCCACAAAATCTACACTGCCCTGTTCAGGGTCTCAGCCAATCCCACTCATTCGTCATCTTTCTCTTTCCCATTATCTATTTCTCCCTCAACTGTCAGCCAGAATTCTTTACCCATTGCCAATGTTCAATCCACACTTCACTCCTGGGGGGGGGATCGGTTCTTTATCGAAAGTTGCTTGAGTTTTTGTTCTCTTTTTTTTTTTTACTGACAGATACTGTCATGTTGACAACACAAGAATGAGCATTGAGAGAACTGAACTTGTAATCAAAATGTACTCCTTTTGAGTACCTAGCAACCATATTTAAATTATATTCAAACCTCCAATTCTAGGAGATGCCATTATTTACCCCCAAAAATAATATCCCATTAATTCAGACTAGCAAACATGGTTTCTGAGCATACAGCAAACCTGACCTGCTAACGAAGGAGATGAAGGCTTCACCCAGTGGTGGGATTCAGCCAGTTCGCACCAGTTAGGCAGAACCTGTAGCTAATTCTTTGTTGCCCAGGCCCAGAACAGACTTCGGAAGCAGCATCCACACAGAGAACTGGTTGTTCACATATCTGAATCCCACCATTGGCTTCACCCCCATTTATTTATTTATGAGACTTATATACCGCTTTAAGTGCAAGCACTCTCTGTTTTCTGAGGTTGTTTCCCCTGAGAGGTTGCAAAGAACAGTCCTCCATTTGTAAGTAGACTCTGTCGGAAAAAACTGTGCAGTTCACCCAGTTTAAACCATGATGCAAAAGGAAAATAGAGCTCTCAAACCTCCCTCATACCTGGTAGTATCTGCAGAGGATGTACAAAAAGGTTGGGTTCTATGCAGATTTATTCTCTTTTTGTCCTCATGATGATGTGCAAATCTAGATTGTATTTTAAGAACACCAATGCTGCTTATTATCTTCTCCTTGATCTCTGCAGAGTTAGCCCCAGAATCTTGCAAGATAGGAACCAGGAGCAGGGAGCAGGGAGACAGGGACTTCTAGTCCTCCCTGAGACATCCTGAGTGACTTTGAGCCAACAATTCTCTCTCAACCCAACCTATCTTGAAGGTTTGTTTTGGGGAATACTGGAAGAGAGCATTATGAACGCAGCCTTCAGTCATACAAAATAAAGACTGGAAATGGAAAGAAAGAAAGAAAGAAAGAAAGAAAGAAAGAAAGAAAGAAAGAAAGAAAGAAAGAAAGAAAGAAAGAAAGAAAGATAGATAGATAGATAGATAGATAGATAGATAGATAGATAGATAGATAGATAGATAGATAGATAGATAGTTTTCCATCATTTTTGCTTTTGTTGTAACATGGTGGCTACTTTGAGCCATAATCAGATCAACTAATGGTGAAAGATAATGAAAACTGCAGTCCTAAAAAATGTGGAGAGCTACAGACCTGTATACAAAAGGGGTGGAGCATGCATTGCAACACACAATGCTCATTGCTGCAGAGGTCACTAACAGTAACCTTAGGAGGGGCTGGGCCAGGGAAGCCTTCTTGCAGAGTTTTCAACAAAGTCTGGAATGTCATTCAAACAGAACACACTTAGAAATGTATGTATATATTCTTCCTTTGATAAACCTTGGTAAGTTTAACTCTCCCTGGCTGGAGACTTTGGGAAGTTGAAGTCCACATATCTTAATGTTGCCAAAATTAAGAAACTCTGGTTTGGATCAATGTCTAATTATCAGACACACAGCCTCTTAAGATGGTAGAAGTGCAGTGGTTTCCCCTCCCCCTTTTTTTCTGTATTTAATACAGTAAAGAAGCATTAAATGAGCTTTTAAGTCATCTATACAGACCGAATGAGAGGACAGAATTTTAATCAAGTGATCAAGAGGGCCAGAACATATGTTTCTGCAAATGGAGATGGCTACAGTACTACTTTTAATTAGATTTCTTTCCAGAAAGGAAAGATAAAAACCTAACACATCATGTTAGGTATTAGCTGGGATAAAATGCGATTCTCACAAATCGTTCACAGTTATGCTTGTTTTCTGATCACAGACAAGCATTGTTATGGGAGAACACTAAGAAAACCTCAGGTCTATTCACCCGCTCACAATAGAGAATAATGCTCTGTATATCCAGCAAAACAGACACATCACCATGTCTACATAGAAATACGTTTGCATACCACTATCAAACACAACATGTACTGTAAAATGTGTTAATTTATTTTTCTTCATGGCAAAGGCCTTGCCAAGGGACCATGCTAATCTTCTCTATATCATTCTAGTCTTAGCATATTTGCTGCCACCCAACCGTGTAATGGATCTGACGCTTGACTGAACTAAATCTGCCTTCATTATTGGAGTACAAGCCTCTGCTCTGCCCCTCTGAGTGGGTTCACCTCATTGCTGATCTTCAACAGGATCCATGACTAAGCAATGTGCTCGGGACCACCCTGGAAAGCACCCATCATTTTGGGAGTTTTATTTAAATCCCTCAGAACAGTTTACAGCAATCTGTAGAGTCGTGCATTTAAAAGACAGATGCTCAGACGGAATTTTCAATATGCAAACATTTATCAAAGGAAAGGTAATTCTTTTTTCTACTAGTACTGGAAATCTAGGAATAAGCAAAGCTCTGTGTAATAGAATCAATATCCATGAAGAAATTTCTGAAGTAGCATACCAGAATATTTAAGTGAATTCTGCATTCCTAGAGATACGAGGTGGGATATCTTAAAAAATTACAGTGGAAATGAATGACAAAAATTCATTCTTTAGACAAGTGCAATTCTTTACAGCAGCAGGCTGAAATTTATGGCTGAATTAGTAAACTTTCAATTTTGTTTATGGTTTATATCAGGGGTATCAAACTGCTGGCCCATGGTCCGGACGCGTCATCCGGAAGCCGTGCCCACCCCATTGCCAGCAATGGCGAAACCGTCCCGATACGTTGCGCGACGTCATGTGACGTCACGAGTTTGACATGTCTGTTTATATTATTGAGAAGGTACACATTTGCTCTGTATTTTATATAAAAAATGGCACTGTAATTCAAATATTGAACAAAAGATAGCACATTTTTTTCCATGAAAGTCTTTGATGTGCAGAAATCACTGAAAACCATTAGTAATTTCCAAATTACTAATTGGAAACAGCAGCTGAAAACACCAAGTTTCTAATATCTGATGACTTGTTTAATTATGAGAACATACTGGGAATTTTTCTCAGTATGTTGGTACACACAAGAGCCTAGTCAAACTGTACAATACAAAGTGACTAGAGGGGATGATGAGATAGAGTAGCCTCTCCCTAAGAGTCTCCCAAAAGCAAGGACATCTAGAGACGAAGTAGAAGCAGTGAAGAACAACTGTAAAAGAAGATCAGAGGCGAATGTCATGGCCTGTGAGAAAGATCGTGAGAAACAGGATGAAGAGATACAGCCTAGAGAAAAGTCAGATAAAAAGCTCATAGCTGCATAAGAGGCAGAGAAAGAAAGGGGGACTTCCCTAACTTCTCAAGCTGTTAAGGACACAGTGGGAGACTTTTAAGACTTTTTAAAGTAGCCTTACAATTAAGTAGCATTAACACATCTGATTGTGTTTCCTGTATGGCCTGGCTGGGAAGGCTGACATCAGCCTTGCTAGTCTAGATTCCACAAGGCAAAACCAGAGATGTTGAGTGGAATAATATTTTGTGATGGGAAAGGTCAGAAATCTGAGATTTACCATATTTATTTGAAAAGACTAGGACAGTGATGGCGAACCTATGGCACGAGTGCCAGAGGTGGCACTCAGAGCCCTTTCTGTGGGCACGCACGCTGTCACCCCAGCCCTGCCTCCCCCCACAGCCCTCTCCTCACCAGTAGCCCCCCAGAGGAGAGTCACCCCCTGGTGTGGCCCGCGTGGAGCAGTGCAGCCAAGCACATGGCAGCTGGGCAGCAGATGATGCTGCGGGGCACGGGAAGAGGGTGTGGCCACCATGGTGCTGCAGGGCTGCCTGGGCAATCTGCAGCAGGCTGCAGATGGCCCTGAAGGTGGGCAGGGTGAGGGCAGAGCAGGGCGGGGGTGGATGGGCAGAGCGGAGGCGTGCCAGAGGCGGGGTGGGTTTTGGGCACTCGGTCTCTAAAAGGTTCACTATCACTGGACTAGGATTTTCCCCAAACAATGGGAAGATTTTCTTTACTATGCTGAAAATAGAATAGTGAAGGCAGACCATATTTCCAGAAGGCATGGGAAATCTTTTATTTCCTTTCTGTTCAAACATGTCTAATTCTCATAGACTGCCTGGACAAATCCCTGCAGTTTTCTTGCCAAGGTTTTTCAGAAGTGGTTTGCAATTGCCTCCTTCCTAGGCCTCAGAGAAATCATCCACCTGGCTTCGTGCCTAGAATTCAGGGTGGTCACCTGGTTCCCAGTCTGATGCTTTAACTACTACACCAAAGTGTCTATCATGGGAAATCTTACTGCCAGATACCATGTTTCCCCAAAAGTAAGACCTACCCCCAAAATAAGCCCTTGCTTGATTTGGGGGCAAGTGAGCCTAATATAAGCCCACTACCCTCAAAATAAGCCCTAGTTTTGGGACAAAGTGCATGCCTAAAAATCAAAGTAGGGTGGGGGTGGAGGAGTGCAACTGCCCCATGCACCCCACACCTGCTTACCATTGCAGCCAGGCCTCCCATGAATTGACACCTGCCTTGCTGGCCCACTTCTTCTGCAGTGCCCCCCCCCAGCCTCCATTTCGCCATCAGAGGCCTTCCAGAAAGGTCTCTGCAGATGAGAACCAAGTCACAGATTCTATCTGTGATGGTGAAATGCAGGCCAGGGAAGGGGGGGGGGGACACCGTGCGCATTAATCCGGAACTCTATTCTCAGCTGCAGAGGCATTTCCTTTGGCCACAGAAGAAGTGGGCCAGCTGGGCAGGGCTGTCAGTGCTGCCACCCTGAGGTGAGACCATGGAAATGACACCCCCCAAAAATAAGATATGGTGCCTCTTTTGGAGGCAAAAAATAATAATAAGACCGGGTCTTATTTTCAGGGAAACACGGTAAATACAGCATCAAATATTGGGGGACATTTCAAATAGATACGAGCCTGTGAAAATGTAGGAGGGGCGGTTCTTTATTTGAGTGGTCTCCACATTTATTTAGTGGAGTATGCAATTGTAAAAAGTTTCAGAAACAATGAAAGTGAAAGCTTATTAGGGTTTCTTAAATTTCCCTGGCGAACTCCCGTTAGCTCTGTTTGTTCAGTCAGTGAGCTCTCACTTCAAAACCTACCTGTCTTTTATTCCTCCATTAGTCTCTGCTTCCTCAGCAGGATGTGACTAATCAATCAGCTACAATGAGCAATCACCAGCTCTCAAGACACACCAGTTGTAATCAAGAATTCTGAAGGAAAGAGCCTTCCCACCCCTCCTCGCTCACCCCACATTCCTTCAGATCAGTCAGCTTCCTTGGTCATCTCCCTTTCTTCCTGTGGAATTCCAGTGGGGACCTGCCCCTTTTCCTGTCTAATGAGCCAGTGTTTAGCCATGGGGTACCTTTCAGCCATTTTAATACTTTGTGTGACTTTGCCCACCCCTTTGAGAAACGCTGGCACAGTAACAAGCACGATTCTCATTGCCTATCATTGCAAACCATCTACCCATCTAAAGTGATAAATTTAGAAATAAAACCACTACGTTGCCCTGGCATCTAAGTAACCCTGCCTTGACTGTCTGTATTACAGCAAAGCTGATACAGGAGATGATAACAAGTAGGGGTGAAAGACAACAGATTTGACTGATTTAAGCTTGCTTTTTGCTGGCCACATGGTACTTATCAGATCTGAGGAACTGCTTATTTTACGGATAAGAAATGCTTATTAGGGAGACATCTGCTTATTTTGTTAACCTCGAAGAGCACATGATGCTTGCTTGAGACCATGAGTGTAAAGAGTGTTGGGACTTGATGGGAGGGGGGGCACACCTGCTTTGGAGAAAAATTCCCAGGTGCCCTATTCTGCACAGAATAAGGTTGTTCCTATCTCCATTCTTGGTGTGTGATTCATTGGACGATAGCATACCAGGCACGAACCAGCTGTTCCTGGGATAATAACATAATACACTAAACTAAAACTCTCCTTGCCACTTATCCTCTTGTTTCAATTCCTTTTTCTTTGATCCCAATTTGCTTCGTTGAGTCTGTCTTGCGATTATATCTGCTCTTCTAATAACTCCACTATAGATAAAACTTCTCTTGCCGCTTGATTTTATGCACTGTCTGCAAATAGGCATTCTACTGAAGTATTGCTTGGAACTATTTGAGTTTTTCATACTTAGGGCACTCAGAGTGCTCTGCATGATAACACAGAGGACAATGGTCTATGTTTCTAATACATCTTTCCCACAAGAACAGTCTTTCATTATCATTAAGCCCTCTTACATCTACCCTCAAGGGTTGCTGCAGGAAAAATATTAAAGTGGGATAGATATTCCTCAATACATTTGATATTTTGAGGTTGATTAAAGATTTCCAACTATCAGATGTCTACCTGGGGCTTCCAGGATGCTCATGTAAGTTACCTTGAGTCATGGATAAGCAGACTAGCCAGAGAAACTGAACTTATCAATTAATATCTGCAAATCGGATTCAGCATTATTTATTTATTAAATTTATTTGCCGCCTATCTCATATTTAATGACTGAGCAGCTTACAGCATAAAAACATTAAAGCATTAAAACCATTACATAACATTGTCACAGGCAGAAGACTTAAACTTGCTGGTTCATATACTCTGTAAGGAGAACAATCGAATTCCCAAGATGGCAATGAGATGGACACACACATACACACACATACACACACACACACACACACACACACACACACACACACACACACTGCAATGCCAAATGACCAAGAGGACATTCTCGAAATACATGGCAAAGAACATTCATAGACAACTTTAAGCATCATATAGGATAGGGGCTCCCAACCGGGGGTGCTCGCACCCCCTGGGGATGCGAGATGATATTCCAGGGGGTGCAAAAACTTGGGTTTAGAAATTTCAAAATTATATGCATAATTCGTTGCCGTTATTTCGAACTTTTGTAAGGGGTGCGGGAATATATCAGAAGCATTGTAGGGGTGTGGGGTATAGAAAAGTTTGGGAACCACTGATATAGGAAGACGCTGAAGTACTCACCCCAAACCAAAAATACTGCAGATCGCTTGCTGCCCAATATGCTACATAGCATGGGAGGATCTAACACTATACTAAAATTAAAAACATTAAAATAAACAGCATATCTGTTGTTCTATATCTAG